CTGTTTTTGTATTACTAGGTACTCATTACCATTGTTCTCACGCTACACCTACTACAATCTATGAGGTAACGGTACGCGAAAGTGGCACCAAATAATACTCGTGTCTATTAAAATAATATGTGCAAGAACGTTTACTTTTTCAAAAATGCGCCACTAAACTAAACTGATCAAAACCTTTATTCAATGTCGGGGAAGTCCGAACAGCTTGTTTATTAAAACACGAAGCTTGCGTTTTTCAACAAAACATTCAAGGTATTTTGTGGTATCTACCCGCTGATTGTATGGGTATCACTGCGAGAATCGTTTAAAATCAAGAAAAAAACATTGGGTTTGTCAACTGGCATAAAACAATTTATACTCCATTAGAGTAACCGTTGACCCCAAAATGCAAATAAAGTTTTTAGCTGGCTTTCGCTCGATAAGTGAAAGTACTTACCAAGGCAAAAATATAAAGAAAATACACCCATCAGTAATTAAACTCAACGCTTCACGACAAAAAGGTACCTACATAGCTATTTTAAAGTAACCATATTGAATATTAGTATCTGGTAGGTATTACCATTGAATAATACATTGAATACAGATTTATTATTCAATGGTATTACGTAAAGGTGTAATATTCATTTAATAATACTTACTATTTAATAATCACCTCTGTAACTACAGGTGCGCACAAACAGCGAACAAAAACGTTTTATTCACTTGCGTTTGAGGCTACTGTCAATATCTCCTTGAAATCGAGATATCTCTAAACGCCAATGTACTAATAAAATGGTTAGAGTAACTTTAATTCTCGGCATTTCGTTTAATTAAACCATGCCACTATAAACTAATTACTAATTTTTGTTTACATTTGTGCGACCGATCAAAGTCGAGCAGCAGTCGAACATTTCCTACCAATGTAAACGTCTACCACAGGTGACGTTTGTATTTACCTGTATAATTCAAGGTATTCATGTATGAGCAATCCAAACGTGTATAATTCCCCCAATTGAAGAACTTATACTATGTACATGCGGAAAAACAAATTTCGTGGAATGCTAATTGTAGAGGATACACACCTATGGAAAACTTCAAAAAGATCATGGAAAAATTAATAGCACTATTGTTGTGAAAATGCTTCTACATCAGTGTGAAACATGGTCACTATAGTGCCGTTGTCAAGAACCGTTCTCTTACCTACTTGCCCCTTAAAAATCAATTTGGACTACTCCCGCGAAAGGGTTTTTTATTTCTCTGCGAAAATGGAATTTACACTTTACACAGGGAGTCCTTGGAATATCCCCCTTTATCTGGGAGTAAGTATCATATATATGGCAATCCCAGGGGGTGGCCCTATATAGAACGTGGTCTTGTCCTTTCAACTATGTTTAATTGTTTGAATGGTTCCTTACCAAAATACAAAATGTAAATCTACCCGATTCAACATACTACCTAGAAATTACACTTGCTCTCATTGCTCGGGTCCGTGGGGCCGAACACCCCAAAGTTTGGAAAACAAACCCCTGCGGGGTTTATATTATATTATATTATATATGAAAGATTCTCCCCTAAGCTCCAAAATGTTGAATGAAATGAGTTTGTAGATCTTCTCAAGGAAGCAATTACAAAAACCATTAAAATATTTCAGTCTTCACCCTTATTTTAACTCTGAAGAACAGAAAACTGATGCTATATTCAATGACACTTTGACTACTACAAGAGAAAATGTTAACCAACGAAGTAAGAAGAGTGAATCTCCGCATCCACAATATTCACTACCGGAAAATGTCCTAAGGTCTTTGGATTGGCCATACCAAGCATGGTAACCTTCAAGATAAATTTGACTCCGTGGAAACATTCACCCTTCATGGAAAATTCATTTAATTACAAGCGAACTTATTAGTTTTTTCCCGGTAATCTCCGGTATATTCGACCCAGGAAGGTTAG